CAATAACAAAAAAAAAAAACTAGACACATAGAGGAATGTAAACAAAATGACATCTGTCAAAAAAAATAGGTACTAGTGAGGGCTTAAAAAAATGTTTAGATACATTAGCAAGTTTAAGATAGATACAAGGTTTAGACGATAATTAAAAAACTCTAAGATATTGTAAAGATTTCATACACTTAACCTCCGTTCCTATGATTTCATTTACACAATATTGTTCATTCTCTCTTTTTAACTGCTTAGTCCTTTCAAAATCTTTACCAGCCTGTAAAATTGGTATAACAAAGCCATTATACTAATCTAGCTTAGCTGTTTTGTTTTTTATATAAGATGTTTCATTAATATAACTCAATTCTGATTATGAAAACTATATTTCAATCCAAGAGACCTAAATATATCCATCGCTTTGTAATATCAGGAGCTGCAAATCCAATTGACACCGAGCCGAACTATTATGCAATTTCCTTATTGAAGTCGGACTAGAGGAGATTGTACACTGTTAAATTTTTAAGTTCGTCAAATGACTACTTAAAATATGAATTAAAGTAACTAAGTTATAATATTATTATAGATATTAACCTTCAGCTTAACTTAAAAAAAATCTTTATCTCGCCTTACCTAATATACATTTCAAAAGACACCAAATTAAGAAATTTTATTTTTGTCTTCATTATCTTATTTTATAAATAATGAATATTCTTCATTATCTTATAGTTTCTCTGAATATTCTCCTTATATTTTATAAGTATGAACACCGCTTTAAACTATTGGAAGCCCAGCAATCTAGTGCAGTGTTTACGTTCAATCTCAAGTGACGTCAGGCAGTAAGGCTAGTTAAGATAACAGAAATGTAATAACCGATATCTGAATAGATTAATTGTATAGTTTTAAAAGATATTTTAAAGAAAACTTTTTTTTAATTTAACATGTATGTTAAGTACATGTAATATTCGAAGTACATACACACTGAAATAATAATAAACAAGATTATGATATTTATTAAAAGGCTTCAAAGGTTTCCTTTTGATTTATATGCTTCACGAATAATATTATTTAGGTTGACGTGATTCAGAAAATCTTATTTTCTCCAATAAAGTACTAATACAACAAAGGTTTCGAACATTCCGAACAAATAAAGTAAAAACACGGTGAAGGTGCCATTATCGACTTCGCCACCTGAACTATTGTATTCATTACTTCGTTACAGAATTAAGACATTTTCAAGTGTTTACTCATTAAATACTATTTGTGCTGTAAGAACTTCGTATGATTATTGAGGATAAAAGATTATTTGCCATCTAAGATTTTCGCGAGTTTTATTCATTTAAATGAAAAAAATATTTTTCGGATGTACTATGCGATTTTACTTTCGTATATATATACTCCCAACTTTTTGGATACTTTTCAGCAACCGTCATCACCTGCAAACGTCTTATCTGTATTAACAATATGTACAATATTAAATTCATTAAAAAAATATATTTTATATTACATTTAATATTACATAACTAATATTAAAATAGAATTTCTCCAAGATTAACAACAATAACTTCATTGCGTTGAACGTAAGACAGTTTAGCACAAGTCAAAAGACGACTGTATACATGTAACCGCTAAGGATTAACTAACAATTCTGATTGTTACTGAAAACTTAGAAACAGCTAATATAAAGCACACTATACTTCTTACATCAGACAATACTTAGCTACTCTAGTATTATATTGGTTAGTATAATATATGAACGTCAATTCAAATTAAAAGAATATTTTATTACGATGGCATTTTGTTTAATAATGTGCATTAAAAATAATTATACAATGTTGACATCAGTAAAGTTATTAGAATTTAATGTATAAATAATACAAAATTTGTAAATCTTCTATATGAAAGTGAGTTTTTCGGATGATACCACGCGTTTGTTTATTATTTTTGAACTACATAATCCCGACGTTCTGGTTCCTTTTGCAACAACCGTGAACACTTTCATCTCGTCTGCCCTTGATCACCGTTGCTACAAAGTACAAAACGAATTAAAGAGTGGGTATTATTTAGTCATAAATAATAAAAAAATAGTATTATCAGAATAATTTTGTTTAATTTAAATGAGTACTTACGAAAATATTTATATGATTAAACTTTTTATAGTTTGAACCCTCTAATCCAGGATCCGTACAAAATACAAATCCGTTGTGATAATTTTCCTTTTCGATATTATTAACATTTTATCACTTCATATTTCACAAAGTTGACAAGGCACTAAGTTGTATTTCTTAGAAAGTCTCGGGAAAGATTATTTTTTATTATTTTAGTAGGAAAAGCAGAAACAATCTACATAAATAGTAATAACTAACTAAATTCTGCATTTTCGTTACAGGTGAAATCTTTAAATTAAAGCATTGAATTTAGAGTAATTTATCTTAACTCTGTTAAATTTAGTCATTCTGTTCTCATAGTTAATAAAATTTAGATTATTATTGCTACTATTTTAGAGAGAGTTTCAGCGATATTCAGTAACACTGATGTGTGAATGAGAATTGAATCTGTGTTTTAACGTCATTAGTGTTAACCAAGCAAACTACATGCAGACGCTACAGAATATATTTATTCACTCAATGGAGATATAAGTTAGATTGTTCTAAATTTACTACGTTGAAAACATTTAAAATAATAATAATGATTAGTCATTCAGCAAGTATTTTAAGAAGGCAATGTAGCGTGTTTGGTCAAATTAAATTGCTCAATACAAAACTGCATAAATAATTTGTCGTTTACTTTTGTAGCATACTTGCAAACATTTAGAATAATCACCAGAAATTTTAAACCTTTTTAAATTATTGTATCGTTAAATCTACTTACCGTAGTACTGCAAACAAAGAAGTTTGTAAATCAAAAATATGAATAAATTTCAATGTTATGTTTTCTATCCATTTTTTTACTATTTATGCTGTTTTGATGTTGTAAAATTAAATTCTGTATTGTACGTCAACAGTTGTCTTAAAAAATAACCTTGTAGCAAATAATAATTCCTTATAAAGTACTGTGTTGTTTAAAAGCCATACTCAAATATTTTTCTGTGTAGAACAAATGTAATATCAGGTTACAATAAAAGAAAAAAAAATGTGTACGTTGAGGCACTTGTTTATGAATATTGAATAAACAAAATTTTGTTACTTCTAGAGTGATTTATTTGAAATGGCTTTATTTATAACTCGTCGTTACTAGCTCTACTAGTCGAAAGGAATGTTCCTGTTCAATGACAAATCCCTACGGCTTAATCCAATAAAGGTTTTAAGTACATATATTTGAATAAAATTATATTACTATAACAACATTTAAAAATATTAACAGACACTTTGTAGCCTTATTTCAGAACGCAAAAGAATTATTGATATGCTTAGTTATACATTCCTCAGTCGTTTAATAAATAGCAAGACAAATTATCATGTTAGTGACTTGATTGATATGACTTTTCTAAAACAATTTCTTTGTAGCAAAACAAACTCCTTTCTATTATGTTTGTTTCCATTTATAAAATTTTCGTTTTAATGTAAGTAAATAACTTAAAATATTCATACTACACCTCTTCACACGCTCTCAAATAAGACAGTATCTTCAACAAGCCCTGTTCACGAAATGTTTCAACCAAGGAATTATATCGGATGTTCTACTCAATGTATTTTATCACAATGATTAGTAAAGAGTACCTTGAAGAATTAAAAATATCCATTACTGTATACACAACAGATTTATCAGACGTAGATAAATCAATTCATGGATCTTTAAATTCCTCCCGCCTCATACAAATAGTCAGAATATATGACACAAAAACCCAATATTCAATACAATTATAATTCATCCAAAAGATTTGAAAGCGTCATTCAAAAGATTCATTAAAAACTTCTGAAAGGTTCGATACTCTAAGAGTCTGTAAATGTTGATCGGAAAGAATGCAAACATTTGCAATATAAGAAGTTTTCCACTCACTCGAGTCGTATTCGCTCTCATAGTCTTGAATAAAGGACACCCTCAAATCGCTTATGAATTCCCTAACCCTTTAGGGGGCTGAGAGTTATTGTTGATCCTTTTTGTAGTGCGAAACAATCATTATATTTTTACTGGTGATATATTTCTTTTGTGTTCTATATAGGGAATTAAATAACATAACACATTTGTCAAAATCTTTTTATTTTCACTTCATATCAAATCAACGTATCTAAGAATCGAAACACATAATCCTACATATAACTAGTTCAAGTAATTCAATCAATTTATTTACACACTTATATTACTTGCAATCATATTGATTTTTAAGAGTTTTTTGGCATTCACTTAAATAATTTACTATTAAAATTAAACATAGCCAGTCTTCAATCGGGAACTTTCAAAGGTTTCTTTCAAAATTCATATGATTTGAAAAAAATATTAAATAGTAAAGAAAGTAATAAAAATACATTACTATTTACTAAACATAAAAGCAATTTAATTATATAGATGATTTGATATGCGATAAACAAATCATACCAAAATATAAAAAAAATATTAATGATCTAAATTGTAATTGAAAATAATATATCAGTCTTATTTAATATCTATTACAAAATTATTTAAAAACCACAAATACTTTAAAGCTATTTAAAAAGAATATTATAATGTATGTACAAGCTAAAAAAATATTTTAATTTTGATCAGATAGAAACTTTAATCACAAATAAGTCAAGAAAATAAAAATTGATGGTTAAATAGCATATAAATATTGAAATAAAAGAGAAAATTTTAAATTTCTAATGATTAAAAATAAACCTTAATATTTTTCTGTTATAATTTGGCTGGAAGGAATATACGTATTATTGTTACCCTTTTCTATCTTCTTGTTTAATTATAGCCTTCGACTTCTCAATACCATTTTTCTTTGACATTTATATCTTTGATATTTTTTACTTAAAGCTTTCAGTTAGGCTTTTGAGTATCAGTGCTCTAATTAATAAAGTATATTTATACTTTCATTTATACGTGAGTTCCGGAACCTGAAAATGAATAAAATAAATTATGAATAAAACGTTTCTCAAAACGATTTCGGGATTATTTTTTGTGGATTCAATTTCAATCGAGGCATTAAATTGGAAGCAATTAATAAACATTTGCTAAAAAAAAATACTGAAATATATTTATTCTCCTTTGTTTTACATCAAAATTTTTAATCTAAGCTTCATTTTTGATGCAATCGTAAAACAAATATATTCATATTTCAATATTTATTAACTGTGAACCTTCAATATAGCATTTTATACGTACATAAGAGTAATTGTGAAGTGGTTATATGTAATGGTTGTTTAATTCAAATGAAGACGTATTTTCTCAATATTTATTCAATTATATGGAGGTTTATTTGTAAATTGTAAAGTGTGCGAATTCTGCTGTTGTTAATTACAATTTGATAAAATATAAAGTAAGAAATTTCTATCACGAATAGCTATTTGTGAATCGGTTTTGAGAAGCGTTTGGTAAATTTTTTAAATGACACTTTACAAAATATGCTATGAATATTACATTTTATTTTAACCTTAACATGATGTATTAACATAGACAAATTAATAGGCAAATAAAGAAGTAAAATTATTAACAATATTGAGGAAGCTTCTCTTTGTAAAACTATTATAAGACTCAAGGGCAAATAGATTGAATTGATTATCTGAAGTATATTTGATACCAGAGAAGTTTCAAACTTTCAGAGGCTTTAATGAGATGGTATAATTTAGTAAATAGTTGTGTTAAATATTAAATTTAAATTAATAACTCGCCATGAGAGGAAAGCTAGAGACTAGCCATCATATTGTGAACAAGACTAATTAAATTCAGAGTTTATTGGATATTGTTATAAAGATCTTAAAGAGATGTATTACTGACAGTATGAGAAATGACATTCAAATCACATTTATTTAGTCACTTTCAGCAAACACTTACTTGCAGCAGTTATGTACATAAAAAAATATATGTAGCAATTAACTATTTTCTCATATGTAGATAACACGCTATAATCGTTGATATAACAAGTTTATGAAAATAATTGATATTTTACCTTTGGTTGATATAATTGATGAATTCATAGAATTTTGTCCGTTTTGTAAAATGTACATAGAACTCGTTGGCGGCGTTTTAGGCACCTGAATGAAATGAAATGATAGTCAAAGTCAACAAAAATCACAAATGTATACAAACAATATATACAATAGTTTACATAGATTTATTATTTTTTTATATCTAATTAAATTTGTTGAATTCTTATCTTTCAATTAATTTTTAAATATGAAATAATATCGTAATAAATAAATTTAACGAAACAAAATAAAAATTGAATTTTAGTTACTTACTTGTGGTTGAGCATTATTAGGTAGAGGTGTGATCTGGCTTGTAAAAGAATTCGTTATTGATGACGACATTGACGGACCTTTAAATAATTTAATTAGATAAAACAAAACTATTGAACATATAACGAAAATTAAATATTATAATAAGTCTATTGAATAACGTACTGGGTTGTTGATTTGTATTTCGCAGTGTGTAGTACGGAGGTGGTGCATTTTTCGCCGAATTACCAACAGGTGGAACGTAACCTACGAATAAGTAAAAGATATATGAAGTATTTTTCATGGAAAAAAAATCAATAAAAGATCAAAAATTTCCTTACCAACTCCATTGCTTCTCAAATAAGGATTGCCATACGTCGCCGCATATCTTACGTCTACTCCTGTCATAACCACACCTGAATTTGCCATCGGTATAACTGTGATGCATACGAAAATATTTTGAAATTCAAATCATAGCCAACTAGGCAGTAAAAATGATGAAGATTTCGGATAATACATATAATAATTTAAATGAAACTAATATTTTTTAGATATACTATACAAATTTATTTTTGATAAAAAACTACATACTCCTGAGGTTTCGGTGACTTTACAGCAGCCGTCATCGCGGACAGACGAGATGTGAATATCCGAAAAATATTAGTTTCATTTGAAAAATGAATAATATTCGCGAAAATCTTAGATCTCATTAATACATATAGTATATAATTCTAAAATTGGAATAATATAACGTAATACAGTAAAAGCACTATTTGATTTTAAATGAATACTTACCATCCGGGCCTACCAATCCTCCTAATCTGCCACAACTTCCTTGCCGGTTCAAAGATCCACAGTGACTCTGGTAAGTGGATTCATCAGTACTCCTGGATAAAGATCCAGTCATCGAATCATTAGTGGGAGGAGCGTAATCTCTAGAATAGTCAACGTATGGGACGTAGCCTTTACTTTGATCTTGATTCTAGAAGAAATATAAATGAATTATTGTACTATTGTAATATTGTACTATCAATCGTATTAAATTTTCCTACATACGAAAACGTGTTGAAGATATATTTCAAAGACATTCCTAAAGAAAATAGGGAGTAATAAATTGTTTGTAATAATATTTGTACTTAATTTTACTCGTTAAATATTATAATTTAGTTTCATGGGGCCGGGTATCAAATTACGCATGGGTATATTGTATTCAGGGCACGTTTCAAATTATTTCACTGTCGAATTTATAATGAAACAATAAAGGTAAGAAAATGTACAAATAAATTAATCTGATTATCCACTTTAAATATTTTGTTCCAAATTACAGAAAATTTTCGTTTAACTTCATGTTTTTAAATACAAATATATTTTATCGTTTCAAAGTCATTGCTACTGAATATTTACATTTATAATTCTTACTAGCTTTCCGCGCGTAGATTCGCCCGCTTGGAGTTCGGTTATATAACGTTTCCAAGAGAACCTTTCAAAAGTCGGGGATAAAACTATCCTATGTTCTTTCTCAAGGTCAATTCTATCTCTGTACCAAATTTCATTAAAATCAGTTCAGTAGTTTAAGCATGAAATCGTAACAGATAGACAGAGTTACTTTCGCATTTATAATATTAGTAGGGATTGTAGAAATTATTGAAGCTTTATTGAACCTCTAATATACATGTAATAAAAGGCTGTAATCAAAACTGTTTCACAATATACTTTACAGAGCTTCATATTTTACAATATTACTTTGAAGAAACCCGAGTACCCTGATCTAAAATAATTAAAATCTCCATTCCGCCATAGTTATTATTAAGAAACTTCCTTTCACAAACTTATCAAGATACAAATAACTCAAATTGTGAACTTTCTGAATTATATTAATGTAGGAGGCCAAGAAAAGTACATAAACTTGGAAAGCGAACGATTTTAATGTTATTAAATAAAGATGGAATTTAAAATTTATTTTAAAAGTTTTTCTATTTCATCGTATTGAATTTTTGTTACATTGTTGATGAATAAGAAATAATCTTAGTTATCTTTTGCTTGGTTAGTTATGGTTTTAAAATGATATTATTTATACGATCTCATCTTATTCTGTATGTTAATACTATCATTTAAAATGCTAATCGTATATTAATAATCAAATATTTTATATGCATCAGCCTCCAAACACATGTCATCACTGTTTAGTAGAAAACTATCAGGGTCCTAAAACAATTCGTCATTGTCTGTCACTTAGACAAATAGCAACTGACAATGAATTTATAGCAACGCCAAACAAATTTACAAGTTGACAGAGATTTATACATAGTTGGGTTGAAAATGCACGGCGTTGTATAATATTTTCTTAATATACCTAAATGCAGCTTTATGTACCGCGATTATCTAAATTTTGTAACATTCAACATTCGTGAACATGATAGTCGGTAGGTTAGTACAGACATGAGATTGTCACTGGTACAATAATCCGTCATTGTCGTTTTGCGCTGACTTACACAAATAGACGGCGATTGTAACACATGGCAGAGTATGACCATTTGTAAATGGATATACTACTAAATCAGTGGCAATTCGAGCCAAAAACATAAAACTTTACGCTTATACGAAATATTTCAGGATTTCGATACTATTTACTCTCAGAAAATTTTCCATAACACATAATATACTACTCACTTTCTAAGTTTAAGATTGTACGATAAAAAAATGGGTCGAATAAAAGAATTGCAGTATTAAACAACACATAAGCTAATACTTAAGTCAGTGGCTGCCTAGTGGTTAAAAGGCCCGCTTCTCATGCACGAGGGCGCGGGTTCGATCCTTGCCCGGGCAAGTACCAATGTGATTTTTCTGAGTCATTTGTACTTTCTAAGAGTATTTAGACATCACTGATTAATGCTGATTCCCAAAGAGGGTTGATGTCAGGCAGGCGGCCGGTCGTAAATACAACTAGCCAAAACTATTCACAACATATTAGGCAGACCCTGGCTATGGCTGGGAAATTGCCAGGTAGAAGTAAAAGAAGCTAATACTTAAATAATGTACAATTAATGATACACCGTACATGTTAACATAATTAATAGACTGTGTATAAGCAAAATATATGTATTTCAACGGCAAATTTGTACATTTTCATTGAATAGCAATGGCATCACGCCAAGGCACGATCAGTAATCGGTTCGTTACTGCTTGTTGATAGTCGCTAATGCTTTCGACGAATAAGGGAAATTTGTATTTACAGCCTGGATAAATTCGGTTAAGTAGAATCTGATACCTTCTTCAACATTGTAAACGAAATAAACAAACTTAATTAAATTATTTACAGTGTTTTTATAACCTTATAGAATGAAAATCCTAAAATGAAAGATAATAAATTGTTTATGACAGAATTTTATACATGTTCAGCATTTTATATTCCAATCAAATTTCATTTTGCTACAACGTTTTACTTTATTAAAAGACCATATTAATGAATTTGTTATTTTTTTTCTATAATAGTGTATTAGCATTCGGAATAATTTAAGGATTACAGTATTCAGACAGTGAAAATTCAATATTTTCTATTAAATGAATAGCTTGTTTAAACTTAAAACTTTTGTACTACTCTTGGATATAAACCTGCTTTTTTTTAAAGATTTTATTTACATTGGAAAATTATTTACACAGACTGTTCTGTAAATTTTAGAATCTAGAAGTTTATTTCGGATTCTCAGACTTGAGACGGCAACAAATAAATCCCAAAGGTTGTTCTCATGACATATAATCTGACATCACAACAGCGCTATCACATTTGCTCTGCCTCTCAAGGGTGCATTGAGTTAAAGAAGATACCTTCATGAATATGGTTTTCAGGTTAAAAAAAACTTAATTTTGTTCACATTAATACGTTGTTTCTTTCTAATTTCCGATTTAGTAAATATCGAGTAATTTTAGTACCTTTTAGATACATTTGCTGTACACTTGCCAATAATTAATTAATAACTAACCGACTCGAAAATAATTTCTTATTCATACATTGCATACACAAATGTCTGTAGCAATATTTGAAAAGTAACTTATCATACAATAACTAAACATTAGTTTTCCACCTCATAATATAGGTTTTAATTCAACGTCTTATGTAACTTAAGCAGTGTAATAATTACTTTAGTACAACTAACCTTAAATCCATGAACATTGAATTCGTCACTGTATCTATACACGTGGTCGTGAACAGGTCCTGCCAGTGGTAACCCAAGATTGCTGGTTATTTGGAGAGCTGAACGCATGTCCAACTCAGGTCCAGTCGAATGATCCTTGAGATAGGGCATTAATTTATATATAGCTTTGAAATTATATATGTATATAAAGATATAATTTTATCTATCGTCTTTAAAGAAAGGCCTTTTAACCCGACATTCCTATTTCATTGTATTGAAATATTATATCAGATAACTTACATATTTAGTTTCTTATTTTTAATAAATAATTTATTATTATTTTTTTGCTTTACAGAGAAAGACTGTAGATTATTTTCACTCACATGCACTTAATCAATATTGATAGAAAATTAAGAAAACTGTATAGAAGGGAAATTTTTAGGATTTTTCTCACCATTTCGCAGTTTCCTTCAACTTGTCTTAATTCCAATTTTAAGTCACTTATATTTGAACTGTCACCGTCTTTAAATTTATCTTCTTTCGATATTTCTGTTATATTCTCTTCTTTTTCTTTCTTATTTGAGTTCTTGTGGCATAGCATTACAATTAACATTATTATTAGAATAAGTATCGTTGCTCCCGATCCACCGATAACAAATATTATTAAAGGCATCGTTTCTGTAACAAATTTTAAAATAAAATATTTACTTGTGATTTTCAGTTGAATCTATTTAAAAGATTAAAAAGCCTAAAATAATAGAATTGAGAAAACATGTTAATTATTGAACACTAGCTTTTGCCGCGACTTCGTCCGCGTGGAATAGTGACTTCCGGCAGATTTTCTTTGGTTCTTCCCACATAGTTGCCGTTCTTGCGGGGTTTTCGGAATGGTCGAGTTCCCGTAGAATTTTCAGGATAAAACCTATCTTTTTTTTAATTCACAATGAAGTACTCTTAACTAACAACATATTTATTTGTTTATTTGAATAAAGATTAATATTATTATGTTGATACAACTTTAACAAATTATTTCGACCAAATTAGGTACCATAAAACCGGTTTTTGTGAGTTAATCTTAAAAGATAGACATTTACTGTCGCGGACTATTTTTTAGATCATTAAAAGAGCTATTATTTTTAGTTTAGATTTAGTTTTCACGGCGCACGCAACGGAAGGCTTCAAAGATGAAATAATTTCTCCCGTTTTTTACACATTTACCACTATATCTTTGCTCCTATTGGTCCTAGCGTAATGTTATATAGCCCACAGCCTTCCTCGATAACTGGACTATCCAACACAAAAAGAATTATTCAAATCGAACCTGTAGTTTCGGATATTAGCGCTTTCAAACAAACAAACAAACTCTTCAGCTTTATAATATTAGTATAGATTAATTTTCAACTATTACAATTAAATAAAACATACTCACTGTCTGGTATAAGATGTATTTCCAGACTGTCAAGTCCGTAAGCATTGGAAACACTACAATTGTAGCTGCCAAAGTGTTTTGTTTTACTCTCTCTTATAACAAGAGAAGATTTGGTTAAACCATCTGGCAGAGACTCTTCGAGAAACGCATATTCCTGAGACATATACATTTCATTTATTACACCAACATAGATACATTTTATATGAAGTTAATATATGCTATTGATATTATCATTTATAAATAGTTTTTAAAACCATCCATTCATTACTAATATTGACTGAAGCACTTTATTGTATAACCATTGGTCAAAATTCCTGATATCATATTGGAATAGAGCTGATAATCTTACAATTCTGGACTGATATTAAGTAAATATAATTAAGGCTACTACAGTAGTACTCTCAGTAGAGAGTAGTATTAAAGTTTTAGAGGAAAAAAATCATCGCAAAATTTTAAGAGTTATGATGTAATAGCCAGACATCAACAGACATATGTAGTAACGGATAAAATACTTTATATTGCAATGGTAATATTTGAAATTTATTCAAATCCTCTTTAAATTATTATTCGTTAATATTTTTATAAATCTGGTTACGTTTTATGTATATTCGTCAAATTTTATGAACCACTTAGTATTCGGTATCTGTTAAAAATATATCAAAAAAGATCTTCATATCAACAGCAATAAAGGTATATTATTTAACAATACTTACATGATTGTGGAATGAGTTTATTTCATTGCCACCAAATGACCATATAATGTAATCGGGTTTGGGAACAGAAAAAGCGACACACTCGATTCTCACACTACCACCTTCTACGCCATATTGAGTTTGATTAGAAATAATTCTTGGAGGACCTTCAAAAAATATATCAAGACTAATATAACATTCTGTAAATCAGGCACGAAATATTCCATAGCGTAATAAGCTTTATAATTAAACAGTAGGAGTTAGTATGAACCAGTTCACAAACTTGGTGTATAAACCAGACTTTATTTAACCATAACTTTGTAAAACCAGGTCTTATTAGGTCTCAAAGTTTTTACAATTACGTCACTTCAATAATTCTAACATGTAACTTTAGTCGTTCGCTGAACAATGTGTCAAATTTACGGAACGAAAACTCCGCAAGTTTTCAACTCTTAGTTTTGCAACAAAATGACGGCGCAAATGACGTCATGGCGAGATTTAAATTTCGCTTGCTTTGTAAACTTGTGTATTTTCTTGTGAAACATTTTCTTAGCTCATGTGTTTGTTAGGAATTCAGATTTGTTAAGATTGTAACAATCGTGCTTTCTCAAAATTAGATTGTAAAGATTCTTGTCTCAATTATTAAATTAGTTTAACTTCATATGATACAGATTAATTATTTATACGAGTATATGAGCAAACATACATTAATGCAGTCTTACATACTTATAATATTATATTCTTTAATATAGCTAGAATCTTAATACCTTTGACATAGACCATAGCAGGTGACTCTATATCTGGATAGCCTTCTACGCTTGCTCTGCACCAATATTGACCAGCCGTTTCTTTGTTTATTGTTACTGTTAAATTTGGCGATTTACCAACCCTCTAAAAAATTATAATATTATTATCCTCCCATTCACTAAAGATGCATATGTTTTTATATTATTATATAAATAAAGTTAAAATAAACATATCAATATTTATGTACATTAAATAAATTATTATTTATATGTACAATGTAAATAATTTTATCTTAATTAATTTTAATTTATTTAAATGCATATTAACTTACAAATGTACTATTATTTCTTCAAGTATTATGTAATATTTGAACATATATGCAAATACATAAACATATTACTCTTATACACTGACTATATACATATACATATTTATACTCATCGATCTACTATATGTTTTAAATAACATTTTAAATGCGCTTTAAATTATTCTTATATCATTATATTATGCTGATGCATTTTAGACAACACGCACATATATATATGTATGTTTATATATATATATATATATATATATATATATATATATATATATATATATATATATATATATATATATATAATCAAGAGAACATACTCACAATGACTTTATCTTGTTCGTATCTTAACCACAATAATTTAGGTTGCGGGTGACCTTCTATCGAACATGTTAGTGTTACCACGGATCCGATGTCACCTTCCACGTTTCGTGGTTTAACCTTAAATGCTGGACCATCTATATAAAAGTACAATCGTTCGTTAATAAAAAACGCAATGATAATAATTAGTTGTCAATGTTCAATTCTTTTTTAAACTACCTCCTCCTCAATAACAAATGTCAGAAAAAAATATGAGATAATGAGAGTAACTGAAGTTTTAAATGATTCGTCTTTACTCCTTTAGTGTATGTTTAAAATCTCGTTTGAAAATTATATAAAAGTATTACATTTGTAAATCATATTTCAATTTCATTTTCTATATCAAACAATTTTATTAATTCCAAACAAATATTGCATATCTCTTTATAACGTTATTTCAATTAAGGAAAGAAAATATGCCTTTGAAGGAATATTGTTCTTCGTTATATTAATATTGTTTTATTTATAAAATTTTCTGTAATATATCGTCTCATTTTATTTTTCTTACTTATTATTAATAAATTAATATCACTCACAGGATACGTCCAGTGATTTAGAATCAGCACTGCTGCCAACTTCATTCTGTACCTCACATTTGATTGTAGCTTCGTTGTGCTTTCGAGAGACATTCGTAACTATCTATAATAAATATATATTTTTAAATTATTACAGTATTAATAGAGTATTTTTCTAAAAGTTTTGTTCTAGATATAAAAAAAGTTTTACGATTAATTATTAAAGACAAACATACAAATATGTAGCTATATATGCATTTTCAAAATGTTGATTTATTCTTTGCTGTGACTACTTGAATCTTGATGATAAATATCTATAACCTATCTCAATAAGTGAGCTATCAAATAGTAAATAATGTTTTCTCATTTAACTAGCAGTTCATAGAAAAACTCATCCGCTTTATAAGAGTAATAAAAAAAACATTGAAAACAGAAAAGACAATTATTCAACAATTAAATGACTAGATGAGATGGATACTATTTTATTTAAAAAAATCCTATAACTAAATGTAAACATGTCCTTTTTCATATTGTTTTAAACTATAAACTTATAGTAATAATAATAATAATAATAATATTTGCTTATTTTTTTAAGTAGTTTCATATAAACAAAATAATTATTCGAATACATTTGTAACAATAGTGCGATTTCAATTCAAGTCAATTCAGCACCAAACAAAATTCTGCTAGCAAATTATTTATCAATGTTAAGTGTTATAAATGAATATTTCAAAACATTTAATAAAAAATTCAATATCTTTTTCCGCTTGCATTACAAATAAATTTAAACTTTATATTATAAAACACTCCAATGAATAGTTAATAAATAAATAATAATTGTTCCCAAATATTAAATACGTGATTCAAAAAGATGAAATGGATTTGAGAAAATTAATTATTAAAAGTTGTTTCTACTTATTGTTATGTAATTAATCAGAATAAATCCAGATCTCATTGAAATTTACTTTATCAATAAAATACTAAACGGAGATCCGCTAGTGAATACAATTAGTGACTTTTTCAACTAGCCTTTTAAAACGAAAAAGGCTTAGTAGTTCTTTAATTATTACCTCTTTTTTATGAAAATAAAAATATGTATAGAATATCTCTCTAAAGATTAGTAAAAAGGTGTTTTGACTGTGTTTTTTGTTAACGAATTGAATATTAAACATGAAATTAGATAGAATCTAAATATATAGCATCGCAACATATGTAGAAGCTTCTTAAAGAAGATGTAACAAGTGATTTCAAATTTCTGAAACATCAAAGAAAAGGAGCTTAGTACTTAACCTGCTTCTCGCGAAGGTCTACTAAGCTACTTGACGCTACCTATATACGAGCTACATTCTATTGGCCATAGTTCGGGGTTTGAAAGGAAAATAAAATATTTACAAGTACTTACCAACTCATTATTTCTTGCTGTTGGTACTTGCTCGTTGTTTATGTACCATTTGTAAGTTACGTTACTTGGGTTAGCAGTTGCTTGACATCCTGAAAAGAAATTGCCACCAATATGTTTTCTAAAATAAAGACTACTTAAATTTTGAGATGATTCAGCGCTTATACCAATGTTATAAGTAGCTTTATTAGACGTTTTTCATCTTTGAGTACTATATATTGTAACCTAAAGAGATACGTAATTTTATCATAATATTATTACAAATGCTCGAAAGAAAATGCTAATGAATTCAAGCAATAATTTTTGTATTTTTTCTAACCAAGTTTTCAATTTTATTTTGTTATACAAAGGTCCTGTGTCATGACTCAACACCATTATACTGTAGCACTGAGTGTGATTCAAGTTTTGACTTATCCTCAAAATGTAAGGGTCTATTATTCCGCCTGTTAAGCAGGCTATAGAGCCTTTTCGAAAATCAAATGAGAAGGCTTCAAACTCGTGAAACGGCTACTCAAAAGGGATATTGTGAAATTTTTTACCAAAGCTTTCCTAGACACCGCTAATTTTATATCTCCATAGTACCTTAGTAATTTCCGACATTACAAAATTTAATTTAAACACATAAAACATACTTTTCTTACTTGAAAATATAAATTATATTTATTGAATTACTAAAGATCATTCTAAATTTTTATAATAAAATCAATTTCATAGGGTCCCTTAATAGAGAATTGTCTTGGGGAAGCATCAAAACAAGGGGTTGTGTACAGTAATTGCTTTGGGGAGGAACAAAACGAAAGATCGTTAGAAATAAAATGCCACGTATTAAATTATTGCACAAATACAACATTCTAAACAAAATCTCATATAGACATAAAGAAAATAATGGAATGGAAATTCTACTTCACTCCTAGTATCTAGACAATGTACTCAACGTTTAGTTTTTAAATTATCTGCAACTTAAATAGAAGATTTGAAATTATGATTTCATTTTTGTTTAATTTTAGTATTAACAAATATTTTTCGACTAAAACCTCCTCTATGGTATGTTTTATTAACTTAGGAATGAAAATTACTAAGTTAAACTAAGTTTACTAAGGCTGATAATATTTACAATTAGCAAGTTTTTAAAATATAACAGCTAAAACAGTTAAATAAGAATGACCTTTAATTCAACTATGTATATTAAACTTCTATTTTTACTCCTTTCTGTTTCCTTGATTTAAAATGTGTTAATGAAAAACAGAATACATGTAAATTAAATGAAAAGTGCGTCAATAATTATGATTTAATATATATTCTTACCAACAACTAAAGTGTCCCCTTCCTGTATTTTACCGTTTGGTCTCGATCTCACGACAACTCTAACTTTGGGTGCATATTGTACCTGCAACAAATAGAAAAGCCTTAAAATGTAGACATGATATTCCTACAATTTATATTGTGATTACAATTTTATTTGCTGTGAAAAAAGACTATAGGCAATAAATAAAAGATACGAGGGTAAAGATATGACAGAAGTTAAACTAAAAATTGATTTATAGATTTTATTGATAGATTATTTGATTATACTTTTATACTATGTCCAACTGGACCATTTCATGAGTGGTATGATAATGTGACCGAAATATAAACACTTGAAGGATTATTATAACTGAAATGTACATTTCAGAGAATTATATTCCAAACATATAAGACCGATGTTAAGAGAGATCTATTTGAATACAGTTAATACAGTTAACGACTTGAAGTGAACGTTTCAATTCCTGAAACTGCACAGTCGAAAATTTAATTAAGCAGTAACCTTTAAAATTGAGAAATAAATACTTTCTAATGCTGGAGCTTGCACTCATTTTCTTATTAAATTTTTCGTGCAATTTTCAAGAGCTTATATCTGCAGAACATCCTGTAATTGGATTGTTATGTTGGAATCCTAGAAAATTCGAGTCATTTAAAATAAGTATTCAGTTCGTGTACCGTTGGTAATGTAGTTTTCTAGACGATTTAAACGTTAAATAAAAATGATATAGAAAAAGACTTAATAGTAACAGAATTTCTATCAAATATAGCAGTTCATGAACGATCGTTTTAAAATGAAAACCATAAAAGATTACTATATAAAACGCCTTATATTAATAAAACCGTACAAATATATTATAGTGTCTGTCTTACTATTTAACGCTTCCTCATATAACATAAGGGCATGAATAAAATGAACCGTGTAATCGCGTTTAAAGTATCTGAAATTAAAAGGCAAATAGAAAGAAACCCTATACAATTACTTAATGTGTGGATAAATTATATGTGCTTAAGCAAGTAAGGGATTTTGATGACACTAAGTCTAGACGAAGCCATGTGACGGATAAAACTAAAGCCTTGATTAGCGGATTATGTGTTCAATCGTAACGCAATTTCATGTTTAGCAAGAAAAAATACAATAATGCCGTCAATATTTCCTGAAATACCTATAGATAATTATTCTACCAATGTCTTAAATATGACTTGTTTATTATTCAAAGCAAAACTATTCAATATAGAAGATATTTTATTTCTGATGTTTGACAATATTAATATTAATGTGTATTATTAATGTGTATTAATGTGTATTTCCTTAAGACCTCAAAAAGATTTCTAGATAGAAACATTAAAAGAAATTCCGGAATTAGTCAAAACGCATTCGTTAAAGTTTGTTGTGTTTTTTTTATTATTCACAAATAAACTATTTCAAACAAGTAAAAATATCTCTTCAGAGATAATATTGTAAATTTAAATTAAATTCAACTTTAAATTCCAAAGGGAATGAACATTAAAAAAGTTTCCTCTCGCAATGTAATACAGGCTTTGCGGACACTTTCTGAGCGTCGTCACGAAATTAGAGCCGTACATAGCCGTCTTATTTTCACTTTAGTATAAAACCAAACCAACATCCCCTGACCCAAGCTAAATTCACACTCAGCACAAAAGTTGTGATAATTCAGAATGTCCTCGAAGATTCAGGGGTCACGTTATTGTGGACATTCGGCTATCCGACGGAAAATTCTTTGGAAGACAAAACTTGTGGTGGAGCTTTTTCTCAGCATCTGTTTCTTTATTTCGTTAGGTTTTTCCTTTATCCATTTATTGGTGGATTTGGCACTGGAAGTAATTTATGTGTGAGTTCCTACACCATCTCATTCGATTTTATGATATCAATGCAGTTAACTTCACTTGTTTTATGGGAATGACTTTATGACTTCAATTAAGAACACTCCGTAGCTTAGCTTAAAATGAAATCATTTTAAAATAAAAATTTTCAGTCGAGTTTTTATGACTTATTTTGATAGTGATCCGTATAAATTGTATTTTTATTACCTAAAAGCAATTTAACAGACGATGGTTTTCATTGTTTTTTTTGAAATAAACAATGAATGGAATGATTTAAATATATATTAATTTTTGTAATTAATTTACTCAAAAAATACTTTTTCAATAAAAACTTAATAGTGATAATTCTCGATTAGAAATTTAACCAAGCAAGACGAATGTGGTATTTAAACGTTAATCCTGGAAAAGGCAATAGCTACTTTTATAAATAAGACAAAAATTTCACATAAAACTTAGGAAATATCGTTTCAGGAATATTTGGAGGCCCAATAAGAAAAGCTTTCGGATTTTAGGATTACACATCCAATTTTCGGTGAGGGAATCTTTATATTTCATTTATTTTACGTCATTTTGTAAACAGAGCAGATGGATTACTACGTTATTGTAAATAATGTTTATGATTTTGAACAAGATTTGCTAAGGTTTTTAATCATGAAAGCAGATTTGGGATACCCATTGTTACAGTAAAGCCAGAGTGTATTTATTAGCATATTTTGGTATCAACTTAATTAAAACCTTGAGAATTCTTACAATAATCAATATAAAATATGATTTTGTTCATTATTTGCTCACTTAAATGGTAACAAAAAGATAATAGGAAGAAGTAAATAGCTATATTTATCTGTTAATGAGGTGGGAACAATTCAACTAATACAAAAAAGTACGTCACATCGTTTAAAAACTATACTGTCATAAAAATAAAATGCTTTTAAGTAGAATCAATCAACGCATAAAAATTTAACAAGCAATTATTTTAAATTCTATACTGATATAGACTGATATATTTAGACTAAAAAAAAATATTTTTTAATAAAATCCATTAAACAGAATGAAATATTATAAAACTCAATGCTTTCAAATATCCTTAATTTCTTGTTTCTACTGTTTCATATTTTTATATCGGAGAATATAATTTGTGCCATCAAAAATGTTAAGTGGTTTTTTTTACGTTCATTGTTAAAATGTCACAATTTTGACAAGTGATTATTATGATCAATATTGTATAGCATTTTATTTCTTGCGATGTCTTATTTTTAATTCCGTAAGAAGTAAAGGAAATTAAGTTCGTCAATGGAATAAGATTAATTTATGTATTATTTTGGAGACAGATTTCAAACTGTTCAAATTGTTCATTCACTTTATTTCTAATTCATATAATTACTAGTGTCTATACGTCATTTCATCTGTGACGACTTCCCAATTGGGTTCAAAGAGAAATGTACTCGTATGTGTAAAGTGTATTAAAGCAATACATATATACAAGCGGGAGTGATACCTTTAGTCTATGTCATATGACTTAATACAATAATACAGCTGTTAAAGAAGAATGTTCTGTTATTTCCTCGTAATTTACAGATGAATTAAAGAATATATGTATATCATTACGTAACTGCAAAAAATTCATTAGGAATTCTTCGGTAGTTTATGAGTAAAGTGCAACAAACATCCAAAAATCGTGACAAAATTTTACATTTATAATATGAATTGGGGTTATTGCTCTTTGAATACAGGATATTACTAGCTGTTGCCTGCAGCTTTGCTCTTATATTAAACCCCTTTGAGATACATGCTATCATGCTTGCAAGGTTTCATTTGATATATCGAAGATCTCGTTAAATCAGATTCTAACATGGTAACAATGGTATCACCTCAGGTCAACGACCTTTTGATAAGAAAATTATGTTGAAAATCTTGGTTAATTAATGGAATAAGAAACTTATGCTCAAATTGTAAACATCGCCCTTTTTGTAATCAGTTGAAAAGTAATCCTTATAACTATACGATTACCAATTTATTACCCATACGATTGAATTTCTCGTCAAATTGAAAGACAGAAATACACAGACACAACAGTTTAAAGAATTAAAGTAAGTATATATAACTTCATATGCATTTAGTTAGAAACTGCTCATTTGTAATTACGAACAGACGTTTTAATTTATTTATTTGCATGGACAAAAAACGTTTCTTTTATTTTAAAATTAATTTTCACTAGGACATTGATATAACATACTTATTTGCTTTGTATAATGTTTTCACTCTAGTCAAACTAGAAGTTATTATCATACAATAGCGTTAAATCTATCCTTAAACCCTAGTATTAGACGTAGTAAAACTGAATGGAGTCATTTCTTTATTATGTACTGAAAGAAACGACGGTGTAGGATATAAGCTTAAGACGAAGAGGTAAAGTGTCCTCAAAGTACAACTTTCTTTATTTTTTAAATAAATTTTTAACAAATACACATATATTTTGAGTATAATTCACTCTTTAATTCATTCGATTAGGTTTAGACACAACTACCTATTTTCATAACCTTTCAAAGTATTGTCTAAAGCCATAAATTACAATATTTTTTCTACACACGGCCTACACGGCCATCTTAAATAGTAGAAATTGAAAAATATAGAATTGCTATGTATAAATAATCATTATCTAATTTAACTTCGAATAATAAATGCAAGAAAGATCATAATATAATCAGGGATTATTGAACCGAATCGTTCAAACTTATTACTGCTTCTTTCATTTGTACTTCAAGTGAACTTTAATTGGATCAAGTCATTTAGACGGTTGAAGTTTAACATCAGACTAAGTGGTTTTAAATCATATCCCATTCTACTGGAATTGATAAAAATTCTTGGAAGTGAAATATCCAATTTAAATACTATCTGGATTTAAGTTTTAGATTCATTTTATTATGAATTGGTTGCTTAGCCACGACTGAGTCGGTTTAAATGTTTTGAAATGATCATATAACTTTCTTATTATTAATTTTCTTTTATTATCTAAGCTATAAATCAGAATTAAATAAGTATCTAGTATTGCATTGCAATAATATTGTTGAGGACACATTTAACTCTTTATGCAAAAAGGTAAATTAATAGTACTGAAATAATTTTTTTATAAGTAAGGTGGCCAACGACCATACGGGCTACTAAATGGGCAGTAAGCACAATCGCCCATACACATCTGCAACATAGGATATGTTATGGATGCGTTGCCAACCTTGGAGATTAAGGCAGAGGAAGGTGTGGGAAAAGGAAAAGTTTGGAAAGGGTGGGAACATGAAAAACTTTGGAGTATAGTAAACCTTTTGTTATTATATCTATAATAAAATCAATGTACCTTTAATACGACACTGGCGGCCTTATACGCTCTGTCTGCTGTATTCTGCGCCTGGCAAGTATATGTGTGGGAGTGATGCTGTCTTCGCGGTCGAAGGTGCAAGACGGACCTAATAAAGTATACATAAAGGAAGTCACTAAGAAATATATTAATAAGAATAATATTAAAAACAGTTTTAATGAAATCACATAACACAAATGTAAGATTCTAAGATTTAAAACTAGTCAGTCAGTTGATTAAACTTCAGGTTAGGCTTCATATCATAACAATCACAAAACTTTTATCAACCTTAAATATAGTATAACCAATTCTTACCTAGCTATAAACCTTCTGCCATCAGACATCTGTTCTATAGTGTAAGTAACTCCTTGATTAAGAACATTACCCTCACTATCTACCCAGGTTATCTGAAACATAATAAATAATAAACATGCAAAATTTCTTTTAACTTATGTTCTATAAGAAAAATCAAATTTTATAATAATGGGTAACGTTCGGTAATCATATTAGATATGTCATATAAAAGAAAAGTGTATAGATTCACTTGTTAAAGTATAATCGATTTAAATGTATACTAATATATTATGTAATAAAAATACTTATTATTTAAAAAATCACGTCTTCGATTATTATTCAGCATACTTACTTCAGCTGCGGGCTTTCCGCCCACTGATACACATTCCAACATAATTTCCCTATCTTCAACAGCCTCTATCGTGGGTCCTTTCAAAATTTTCGGAGGTTCGGGAGGCACCAACACGGTAAGACGAGCATATCTAGACCGTATAGCTAATTCTCCTACAACAGTAACAAGCGTATGAAAATTAATATTAAAAACAAGATTTTGGGAATAGATTAACAAAACAGTTCTATGGATTATTTTACATAGTCCTAATACTTTAATAAAGATAATGTCCTTTTATGTATAAAAGAAAGTTGTGTTAGTTATACTATTGGTTTTGCTGAAAATTGGTTGAGAGATAGCTTAGAATACGGAAAAGGACATAGGATACTTTTCGTCCAATTAAAAACCAAAGAAAAAATAAGTTGATCAAATTCAAAATCTACTAATTATAATCTACTGTCTTTAAGGAGGAATAGAGTCCGAACAATCAGCTTTACATTTCTAATTCTGAAACTAACGCAGATTAAGTTGCGGGCGAAAACTAGTATATATAAAGAAACATTAACTAATAATAGAAAGTCGCGATTCTGACCACAATTGTATATAACAATACGATAAATTTTCATCATTTGATAATAAAATCCCTAACGAGTCAAGTATTATAAGCACATTTGTGTGAACTAAAATTTGGGTTCAGCTCATAAAAGGAACAATAAAGTCCTCGCTATATTTTGTAATCCAACGACACCACAAAACTAACTTTCCGTATAATTTCATTATAATACTAAATCCAAACTAAAAGCTCGTGCTAAGGATTCGGTCCGAATAACAGAAGAGGTATAGATTTTAATTTAGGAGATTAAACTATTTAAATATGAAATATAAAGTGGACATATAATATATGTATATTATTTGTGAGCCGAAAAAACTTGTTAATCGAAAATAATAAATAAATGAACAGATTTGCTTAATAAAATCGTCATTTTTTTATAACTAAATTTTTATTTCTATATTTACTTGGCAATTGTGTAATGTTTTATTATCAACGGATAAAAATTATTTCAGTCACTTCTCGTTATATCTCAAATAATTGTTTCACAATGAAATATTGATCGAAATGTACAATTCTATTTTTGTTATCGCTAAACTTATAGTGTACAAATTTCATTAATAAAATCAAATATTTATATTTCAATGTTTAATTATAGTATCTAATGTTTAAACAAGCAACTGACTATACAACAAGATATAATTAATTACATTAAAATCATGATAAGATAATTCAAAGAAACGTGGGTACTGTTTAAGAAAATAAACAAGAAATTATAGTATGTAACACAATAAAAAGCTATGTCACTGAAATAGCCGTTGCTTTAGTATGCTATCTTAAATACATTAGTAGAACGCTTTAATGTTTTGGGTATTTTGGGATTGAGGTGAAAAGTTGGTGATTCGATCCAAAATCTCTTTTAATCTTGCTTCATAATCATCGTAACATCCAATTATTATTTGAGAATTTACTATATAAATATTTCTCCTGTTATCTAAATGTACAAGAGAATCCTTTGTAAAGGTATCTATGTTTAAAATTTTAAGTGTGATTCCATAACTAATCTTATAAATACTGTAGCGTGTTACGGCAAAAGTTGAAATTGCTGTTAAAGTTTACCGCAAAATAGTTTTATAAACTTGAACGAAATAAATATAGTGGAATAAATTCTGAATGTTTTTCTCTAAACACGTAAATGGTAAGTAACTGGTTTGTTTTATGAACTGAAATGAATAGTTTTAAAAACTTTTAGACAGTATATTTTTTGTTCAAGTTAATATTTAATGTATAACATTTAGTATTTTCAGTATTCACAAGATCTATTAATTGATTTGTTTTCATTATATTATAATTGAATTAAAATATCATAGTTTCATTGGAGAAATTGTTAAACCATTCCATTAATTTTAATATTTTTTGAATAACTATTAAGATATCACAATATCAAAGAATTGTCACTTAGCATTTTATTAAACGAAATAAAAATAAAAGACTGATTGAAAATCAGACATTTCTGAGCGTAAAATTGTAATGATATACAAATATAAAACCCAATACTTACTTACAACACTTGAAACTATTTTTAAAAAATTAATTTTCTAAAGTCCTATCACAAAAATTTTTATATTGGAAAAAATGTTTTACTTGAAAGAATAAAAATTCTAAAAATATATTGACTTTAAATAGCTTCTTTGTATAAAAAGCTACAAGAGTTGGAATTATTTCCGCATTCGTGTCAAGCGATAGCAAACTTTAAACATTGGTATTAAAGTTTATAATTATGTTAAGCGTCCCTCAGCACTGAAAGTTCTTATCAGAGCAATTTGGGAGGTAAGACGAAAAACATCCCAAGGAAAAGTGTACGATCTTCGCAGAGTTTTGCTTTACTAGAAGCGACTTAAATAGGAATTATATATTTTTTATGATAACGTTATCACATGAACTAGAATAATCCATTTCCAGTGTTGATGATAAAAAAAAAAATTAAACAATAATTTTTTTGGAGGTTTGAAAAGATTATTAATATTCATAGCCATAAGTTGTGACTGTTTGTAAATAATTGTTGCTACAGATAAAAACTAAATGCAAAATATAGTTTTGTTTCGTAAATACGAATTACATTTTAAATTTACGTATACATGCACGATCGTATTCACATAGAGTAATTCAAAATATTACTTTCCTGACAACTTCCAAAATAATCACAGATTGAGGTCAGATTCACACTATTTACATTATGTACGGAACACAGTTAGCGCTAAATTCTATGAGCGTTGTTTAACTTATAAACAAATATATATTTATGGGTTCAAATATAAAATGAGAAGGAAAGTTATATTTAAACATACTTTTATTATGAAGAAACATTAACGTAGAAGTATTTATATTAAGCGTTGCTGATGTAACATCACATTAAAATATGCGAGGCTTAAAACATGAGTAAGCATATGCTGTAAGCAATTTACAAAAAATTCGACACTTACAACACTTATAATCTAATACAATATTAAAAGATTCACATTAAAAAATAGCAAGAAGTTAGTTATACCACTAGTTGTGACTTTAGTTGGTTGTTAGGGTATTGTTATTTAGTTCTAGTAATATAAAAATCTAAATAAAAACTTTTAAGAAATATGAACGTTTGTTGAATTTTAACGCAAAAACTATTTATCGGATTTTATATATTTATATGTATTAATGTTGATTCCCAAAAGAGGGTTGATGTCAGGCAGGCGGCCGGTCGTAAAAACAATTAGCCAAAAACTATTCACAACATGTAAGACAGACCCTGGCTGTAGCTGGGAAATTGCCAGGTAGAAGAAGAAGAAGATGTATATAAGTCTTAGATGCAGTTTATAATTTACACCGATAAGTCAGCAGACTATAAATACCGCTCCAGATTAGCATTTTTATTATTTTAACAAACTTAATGCATTTCCAAGTTTCCAAGTCCATACTGAGGCAAAAAATCATTGCTATACAAGTAAAATTTAGCATTCTATATTAATGATGCGTTTTTTAAGATTAAAAACGCCCAAAAAAGTTCTTAAGGTCATATCCAGTTACTTTATATGTAGAGTTTTGAATAATTCAGCATGATAACGAGAAAGACGCTATCAGTGAGACGATACCGTGATTCCCCTTTTGTCATATTCCAGCATAAGGTTTCATATTCAACGGCTTCCTAACTCGTTTGTGAATCAGCAAATGAATCTAACCCTGAATATTAAATACTTAGTAATTTTGTTCAAAATAAAACGTATTATATATTACCAAAGATATATTTTTAATTATGTCTTTATTTCACAATAGTCTTAACAAATTCTCTTAGTCTTAGCGTCAAAGGATATTCCGAAAATGCAAATTCACTTACTTAGTTGCCAATTCATCGATAGTTGGAAAGTTTTAATCGTGTTTCTGTGTATTTTTAGTTAAATTCAAATAAAATATATTAAATAAACCTAATCACTAACTATAAATATGAATTCAACTTGAATTTGTTCGATAAATCATGAATATTTATTGTATAATATATTTCCAACGCGTTTATTTCTAATGGAAACAGGACTGATTGTGGTAAAATTCATTAAAGGCTTATATTGTGGGGTTTGGTATATCATTAAATTTAAATGAGCGGTTTAGGAGATGATTAGATCGTTCTAAAATAGCAAAACTTTATGTACCGTGTGCTATATAAATATTCATTAATATACATAACTCTTATTTACATATAAATAAAAAAGTATAGAATATGTTCCAAATGATTAATAGCTTCAGTAATAAATACTAATATAATAATAAATCATACAAATTAATTTTATTTATAAAAATTATCATGATGAACATTTAATAGAAAATTATTATTCAATAATTTAAAATGAAAACACCGTGAAAAGACAAATGACCCAACAAAATCAAAAAGAGCCATCCCAACAAGTTGCCTAAACAACCCTAAACAAACTAAACAGAAAAACAATCACCGCTCCAGCCTCGAAGCCTTGTAAATAGAAATTAGTGAACAACGTTGCCGATTGCTCATAATTGGGTTTACCGTGTTCTAACATACGACAGACATTCTGTATTGTCGTAAGGTATAAATGGATCTTCATAATTTCATATATGCCTCTCAATATTTGTTCTCGACCCACAATAAAAACCATTGAATATAATACTTTTAATTTGATATATATTTAACAAAATATATCGCCATGAATTCCATACATTCTTGGAATTAGTGTCTAATTGCTAGCTACATACTAATAAGCTTTGATCGAAATCTTTCAAATAATTATCAATCATATTGTAAGTAAAAAATACATTGAAACAAGAATACAAAATAAAAATGAAGGAAAAAAATCTGAGTCTCTTAAATACAATACAAAATGTTACCTTTGATAAGAAGTTTTTACCGTACTTAATATACAACTGTAGTTGAATGTTCACTTTTATTGTTAGTACAGGGCCTATAGTGATAAATGAATACAAATTAAGGTAATCTCTTTTTCGTACAGATTTAGAAATTCTCCTTGTATCAACTATTAAGGTTTACTTAGAGCATGTAAATTGTTATTTTTCAATTATCGCTGTTTTGCTTATCTTCAATTTTCATCTTTTATATTTTTATATTTGAATTAATTACTAAAACAATTCTAGGTATAACATCATAAAAAAACAATGTTTTATTTGATTAAAATGATTTAAGAGCTTTCTTTTTGAGTTAAAGAAAGTAATTTTTAATAATTAAAATATTCGTATTTTAATAATACTAATCGTATATTATTTTGTATGTTCCTTACTCATTGTTATTACGTAAATTAATGTTAAAAATAATATTCTTATCACTTCTTTGTTCTATTCGTCTCCTAGGACCGTTTTATTGTGGAAAGTTATCACTGTTGTTACCCAATGTTTTGGTTGCGAAGTTGTGGAGAAGTTTCAGCTGTGGGGCAAGCAGGGATCAAGTAGAGTTGGAAAGAGAAGCCATGGTAAGGACTTTTAATTTAAAGTTTAAGCAGTCTCCGAATTTAGCCATGACAATCTCTTGAAATTTAACACCGTCGAAACAAAAGAATGTCTTTTCACAGGCAAAAGTTTTGGTTGGTTTGTCAACAATTTTTTATTAGAATATTCCTTTACGTAATTTAATTACTAAGTATTTTCTAAATCCTGTTATAAAGTTACAATAGGAAATAATCCATCTATCCAGTTTTAAATAAAGCGTACTTTTTAAATCATCTTTTCATTTTCAGGATGAATTCTATCTGTTCAAACTTTATTCAAGCTTTAATATTTAATCCAAATAAATATCGGAGTTGAAAAATTAATTCTCAATATTTCAATGAACTTTTATTAAAATCGCTTTAATATTTGGTTTAATCTGAACATTTCTATTGAAAATTGTCATAAAAGTTATCCGTTCAGTAATATAGGATACATGAATATAATTATGCAGTTCATGAAATTCCTTCGGAAGTAATTATCTTTATATCCAATAACTTTCGAATAGACAATAGACAAGTAAATTTTCTTAAAAACTTAGTTCTTTCACATTGAGTAATGCCTTAAGTGAAGTGAAATGAAATATGAAATTACATTAAAATATTTAATATGCATTATAAATTTGTATCGTTTAAAAAGCAAGCCCAGACGAGGGTTCTTAAATAGAATTTATGCATTCCTTATTCCTGAGTTGAAGATTTATAGTTGAATTTGATAGCACCGACTGTAAATTATAATAATTTAATAATATAAGAAATATTTAATAAGCCATCATTGTTCAGACTATTAATATCTTAGACGGAAAAAATATTTTGAACTTGAAAAAAGTCTTACTAATTCTTGTTTAACATATTTTATCCTGATAAGCAGTCACACCCATTTAAAATTATTATTTATACATACGTTTAGCTAATTGTTATAAGTAAAACTAATCACACGGAATGTAATATAAAAATTATATATTTATATGATAAATCCCATTAATATAGGATTCTTACGAGAACAAACCTAAATATAACCACATTAGTCGAATATTACTTTTTTATTTCTTTATTTTTATCTTGATTCATCAGGACTCGCTTTAAAGTAACTCAAAGTGAGTTTCGTAATAATAAAATGTGTAGAAAAACGAGGGTCATGTTAAAAATATAATTAACTATATACATACATATATGGGTATATAAGTATTAATATGTAGATAGCCCCTTGTTTAATCTTTTAATTCACAATATACGTCTTGTATTCGTCAAACTATATTTATATAATGCTAACATTTATTTTGCTGCCAGTATTTTAAATCAAATAATAATATATTTTCAATAATTTAAACCTACCTTTCGGTCCTGTGCTGACTTGACACTGGTAGTTAGCGTCATCATCGATAGTTACGTCACTGATATCCAATGAATAGTCTCCTAGAATAAAAATATCAATAGGAAAAATTAAGAGAAATCTTCCTTAAAAAGGTTTTATTTATCTAAGTAATGTATATAATTCTCGTAATAGCCTAATAAGTAAAAAACTTAACATACAATGTATACACTATACATATATGCGTGTAGTCATAAGTGGCAAAAAAGAATGTTTAAGCTTTTAACCAAACCTTTTTAACATCACTATGTTTCGTTTCTAGAATATAAAGTATTCTATAAATAAATGAATTTTGTAAATACATACAATAATAATGGGATTCTGCGATACTAAATATAATAGTATCCTAACTTTTTCCTAAAAATATAAATATAGTCAATTTAGGCTGTCCCATAAAACCGCACTTAAAACTCTTATAATTATTTTAACTGCTTGCTTGCTTAGTTTTAATACGCAAAAGAAAGGGAACTAGTCTAAAAACTTTAAGGATCATAAATAGCTTACCTTCCTCGTCACTTCCAACCATCTTGTATCTCTCATATCCTGTCAAATGGCGATGAGTTCCAAGACCGAAATCATCTTTTGTCCACTGAAGTTGACCGGCTTTGTTAATAACTCTACACGGCAAAGTTACCCTTGACCCAAGTACAGCACTCTACGAGCAAGAAAAAGTCTTAATACACTATGAAAATGTAATTACTACTATTGGTTGACAACTTAGTAAGATCGCTTCTTCTATCGAGTATGTTATATAAATCTTTATACATAAAGCATTGTATTTATAATGAATTCTATTTCGTCCTGAAGTTTCGAAAACAAGGTGTCCAAAACAACCCATCAACTATTTCCTGTAAAACATAACTCAACTAAAAGTATCGACTGTTTGGTATCCCGTTATTCCATTAAGTCACAATTAGAAAGCGAAAATCAAAAAGGGTCCCCGCTAATAAATAAATCAGCATTCTCAAGGGAAACCAAAAATCCAAGTTCCGAACGTCGAAATATTAATTTGTGAAATTCCATTCCATAAATCAAACTTTCCAACCCGATTACAGTCCTCTTTTATAAAGGTCTATTCATAATGGTAACCAAATTTATGCGATAAATGCAAGACTTTAAAATAAAGCACGAATAATGAAGCAACTTTGTAATTCCCAATTAAAACATATTATAATTAGAAGCTTCAATTATTAACAAATTAACATTGACAGTACAGAATTTTGTTTGTCCACCGATATAAACATAACGGCTAAATGTGAGTTGAAATTATGATCAAAAATTAATTGCTCGATGTTAATCTATTAATTGAATCGTATAACGCATTATCGTTTTATGCAACATATATTTTACATATGATTTAAATGCTCAAAAATATTTATGTTACTTACTCATATGTGAATACAAGTTATCTGTACCTAAACACTTGCAAGATGACTGAAGTGACTGGTATTGAAATATATAAGCGGATATTAAAAATTCCTTACGTCGAACGTTAAGTTTACTCGGATTATTTGTGGTTTTCTATATAAATGTTGTTATAGAAAACTGATATTGACAATACTGAAAGGTATTATGAGAAATATTTAGATATTTAACAATCCTATAATATAAATTGTATGAAAAAAAATTAAATAGAAGCGCGAATATCGCGGATAAAAATAAACAACAAAAATTTAATTGCTACAAAAAAATTTACGCCACCGTTTAAACATTTTATTCAAACGTATTTTCTCGTTGAGATGAAAATTTTAATCCTATCAAAATGCTTGCAAAACAAACACTACAAACTGTATAGTTGAAACGGTAACGGAAGCAGTAGCTCTTTGATATAGCGTTAGCAAATTAATTGGCAATCTAATATTATAATTGCATTGATTTAATTAATTATCTAAACTGTTATATGAGTGAAGTTATAACTAAATTTAATTGACCTTTATTTGTCGTTTATACTTCTTCAGTTGTGTAAGCATACCCACAGCTGTAATACAACTTACACATAGTGTTATGACAAGAATTATGAAGTGGTACCCGATCCACATAGCTCACCTGATCCTGCGGTTCGATAGCAAATTTCTGCGGACTATACGCATTCACGGCGTGCATTAATAGGATCAACATCATACAATGCCTGGTTATTGTGATATAGCTAATCAATAATCGCAGCAAAAGGAACAATGGATTTGCCTTCCTACTCGTTACCCTTGACATACTGGATTTCATTCCTCTGATTACAATCCCTGTTATCTTCTCTTCAAGATCATCAATCTTGTCCTCATTGAGATTAACACCGGCTGTATCTGTTGCTGCCATTTTGAATTATGTGTTACAGCCATATGTCAACATTGAAAAGCTTGTTTTGTTCGATTCAAAATCCATCTGTAACAAAAAATATATACCCTTCACACATTATGTAATATAAATATTCCAGTTATTTTGTCATAATAATAATTATTAACTGCACAATAATTATTAACTCCTCTACGTTTTTTGTAAATAAAACTTTGTAATAATAATTCGTATGCGAAATAACTTTAATTAAAAATATGCTTTTAATTGCATCGAATTATTTTTAACTGCCGCAAAAATAAAAACCGCACAAAATGTTTCACAGATGTGAACAATTTAACATATTATATTTAAAATTAAATCTATTATATAGGTGTAAAAACACAAACATTCTGCAATTACACTTCTAAGTAAATAGAAATAAAATAGTTTATTTATTTATTTTAACTAACAATAATGTGTATATATTATTATGAAGTTCGTATCATATATATGCCATCACAGGATTGATGATGTCTTTAACTCAATACACCTCAACATATGGCCTTATAAATTCTTAAAATACATAAACCTGTCCTGACCATAGTGAATGAGAGCACTAAATAATTCGGCTCCTTGGCAAAGACAGCGGTTTCTGCTGCACTGATTCCGAATTACAGCTTGCATTCGAATGGTTATATCGGACTGCTGTTGTGACAAGTATAAGCTCCAGAACTTGTGCTTTTTGTTCATGTTTTATGTTACACCAAGAACGGTATAAAATTCTGAATTATTGTGAATTTTCGCATTATATTTCCACTTCACAGCATGAAGAGAGTATAGTTTATCTATTTACTTCTAATTTTTTGAACAATTGATTGATATTTTTTCTGAAAATCTATTAGAAGACAGTTCTTTTTAATATCGATGTAATTTACAATATGTGTTAATTGTAATGCTAATATTTTCAGTCAATTGAAAATTCTACATAGTTTGATGTCAACGTAAGGTTTTAGAAAAGCATATTAATAAAGTAAATAAGAAATCGTAAGAATAATATAATGAGTGGAAATCAATTTTGTGCGAAAGAATTACAATTCTCTAATTCCGCAAAAGAAAATATATATTCGTGAACTCATAGTAACTCATATTCCTCAACGTCTTACTTAAACTATGAGGTCTTTAATATTTAACACATGTATGACAGAGACGAATATAGCTGTTTGTATATATCAGTAGACTTGTGATTCTCGAAGAAATGTTCATACCATAAATGAAGCTATACGAAATATAACTTTAAAAACAAACTTATTCATTTTAGTGAGACTCGATATATTAGTATTTCATTGGAATTTAGATGTAGTATTTGCACAAATTACTGATAATTGCTACCCAAAAAAGTGACTTTTCTATGAATAGACCAATTACGTCAATGGTTAATTAATGTTCTGTAGTGCCATATTTAGGTATACAGTAAATACACTTAAGCCACAATTGTTTTCACTTTTTATCATTTAATTGTGTGAAACGTTGTGACGATTCCCTTGTGAAATTATGTTTGATAACTGTACATATTTCAAGGATCATCAGATAATATAGTAATTTATCAATGAACCAAATAAAATCTTTGTTGACTCCTAAATTTATAGTCAGTGTTACTTATACTAATTGTTTTAGCTTTCACTGGCCCTATATAGAATTTAAGTGTAATACTTACAAGCGCAGGTTGACATTGGGATTGTGGGTAGTCACGGCTTAATTTAGACACTTTTGGCATTCAACCATAGCAAGAACGCAAGGTAAGTAGAGTAACAAGAATTTTTGGTATTTCGATCGAGTTGAAAATTGCAATACTATATACTATACATAATAATTCTGTATATTATATACTATACACTACATATCTGCCTATACCTTCAGATTTAGGCTTACAGAACTATGGACATTGTTTTAAAACAAATTGGTTCCGTAGGATAAGTTTGATCAATGAATTTAAACACTTTTTTCGTGTACTTAACAATATAGTTATTTAAACATATATAGGAAATAGACTTTATATATTAAAGTTTTCATTAAAAGCATCTGATGAAATAAAAAAAAAAACAATTAACACGAAAAAACTACTGAAATTATCTAGCAAGATATTCACGTCGAAGACCTTAATTTGGTCACAACTTGAAATAGACTTAGTCATGTTTTGCTCAAACAAAACAAAACCTTATTCTATTCATATAAGATTCAATTTAAACTGTTATACAAACGTTGGTGTTTTTAGATCTGGAATCGTTCCAGGACATGCCTGTACAATAATTCTTGTGTGCCTGAGTTGGATATTATCATTTAAAATTATATTGTCCTTAAAGTTCAACTTGAAGTTACTTTGTAAGATTTCACTTAATAATTAATTCTTTATTCTATATAATATTAAATTAGAATTTAAAATAATTTTCCGAAGTAATTTATTGTGGCAGTTTTTTTTTTTGTTTACTACACATTTTTGTATCTTACTTTCTACAAAAAGGAACATAGGTTTACAGGCTGCGTTATGTATTTCCCCTTAGAGAATATATTTTTTACAAAGTTACTTTGTTTTGTATAATTAAAATAATATATTATAGCTTACGTATCTCTTAATTATCTATTTTTTACAATAGAACTATTTCATCAGCCTACCAGAAGCCCACTGCTAAGCAAAGGCCTCTTCCTCACATGGAGAAGGTTTGATCTTTAATCACCACGCTTGCTCAAGACGGGTTGGTGATTTCAAACTTATTATGTAAACTATAAGTCCAGGTTTCCTCACGATGTTTTCCTTCACCTGTCAGTGATGTCACAATACTCTCAGAAAGTAAATATGACTCCGAAAAATCACATTGGTACTTGCCAGGTTTGAATAGAACTATACAACAGTTTATTTAGGTCTTTATAACCACAAAACTGTTTATATAAAGTATAAACAAACGATTTTCAACCTTAGTGAATGATTAATTTAAGTGCAACCTCAAACATCAATTAATTGGGATCATAATATCATCCCATACTTTATATTAATAAACATCTCAGTAACAAGAGCTAATTTAATTGATTAATTAATTAATTATTAATAAAATAAGCCATCGCTTTATCACTCATAGCGATGAGTTTGTGTCTTTTAATTTAATTGTGTATCTTCTTTATACCTAATTAATTTATCCACTTACCTTAACTTCTCAAGTGACAACAGATGTTATACAAAATTTTACAATATGTGTTTAACTTGTTGTAATAAGAAAGTTGTTTTTGACCTACGATTCAAAGTTTTGATAAAGAATTTCAAACAATTAACATTGATAATTAAATTAAATTACTTGGCCCACACCTATTTTGATTCTTTCTACGTATGATTTTATCTTCTACACGTCATCAGCCAATCAGAGCACACTATTGAGCAAAGGCCTCTTTCTTTCTTCATCCTCTATACATACGTACGTACATACGTATATATATATATACGTATGTATTCCAATTAAACAATACTACTAAAGTTTACTTCTATATTATATTTAACATACATTTATATTAGCAACTCGCTGTCTCTTAACTGGCCACCATGAACATTAAGAGATAGTGAAAACATTATCATGTATATCATTTCTATCTGAAAACAACATGTCTTATATTTTTTCATAAAAACTGTGTAATTAATATGAATATAAGTAATTTGAATAAAATTTCCTTTGCAAATTAATGAAGCAATCTCAAGCTATCTTCGTATTCTGATAGTCAGTCCCTGAAATCTTTGGATTTATACAAGTAAGAGAGAGTGCATGAGTTATTAGAAGTTATATAGATACCTACAAGTTATACAGTTACATACTAGAGTAATACAACTATCTGTAAGAGCTGTACTATTACCTACAACAATTATACAGTTTTAGGAATGCGAAAAAGAAACAAAGTACTACTGCATCATAAGCTCATTTCTATCAACAACATCTATGTATTCTCGAGTCTATCCATTTGAGAGAACTTAGATATACATATATATATATATATATATATATATATATATATATATATATATATATATATATATATATATATATATATCCAGAGCATTTGATACTATGATTGTTTACAATTTTGGTTACAGTGACATATTTGGCTATTTCTATAGAGCATTAAATGACAATGTTTAATACGTACCAGTCGTATCTCACCGTTTAATAATACATATCATATTTTTATTCAAAACTAGTTTTTGCCCGCGACTTCGTCCGCGTTAGTTTGGTCAAGAGTAATATATGTAGGTGTAGCTGACCAGTCGAACTCTATTCCTTCTTACAGGCCATAAATAATCAGGTTTTTCCTGTTTCAATCAAACAGAATTGACATATTTGTTAGTTGTCAAATCTAATGTCAAAAAAAACTTTTGTATGGGAAATAGAAAAGGGCTGTTTTTATGACTTTCCCAGTAATGAATCAATTTTTCTCACCTTTTAAACTTTCCCTGGACTTCCAGGAGTATTTCAAGACTAAAATTAGCCAAATCGGTTCAGCCGTTCTCGAATTTTAGCGAGACTAAGGAACAGCAATCCATTTTTATATATATAGAAGATTAATATGTATTTAATTCATTTCAACCATTATGTGGGAGATGACGAACACTTATGACTTGAAAATATTGTTCAAAACATAATTGTATATATACATGTGTGTGTAACTATCATCTGTACATCTAATATGATAAAATTTAATAAATTTTATGTTTTAATTACTCAAGACCTCTTGTTTATAATTGTAAGGTTGAGTCCAAGCCACAAAAATAAAGCCAGAAACCAGTTAATATACTTTAGACATGTGTATACTTAATATAACTTGTAACTAAATAAGACGTAATTAGCGAATTCTTTCTCCGTTTAAGTTTTTTCGAGTGTTATTTTAATTGAAAGTAATTTTGCGTCAACAAACTCCTAAAGCTCTTAACTCACACCATACCAAACATTCCGAAACTCCAGGTGGGAATGAGATTTATTTCATATACTCTATATAAGGACAATTTAATG